AGTGGTTTGTCATTTATGATCCTGGCCAAGCTCCAGCACAAGAGTGAGTGCTACTTTGGACAGAGCTCAAGATCAGATGACTAGAAAGTCTCCAGAGGTGGAACGTGGAGTTGGAAGGAGACCACTTGCACACAGACAATCTAATCAATATCTTTGCTGCTAGATGAGGTTTTCACATTCATGCTTTTCTGAAAGTTTCAGCTTCTACAAAAAGCATGTAGACTATAGTGATGCAGTGCTGGTTTCTGGATTGCAAAAGTGGCCCTGTGTTCAAACAGGTTTGCAAAAAGCTTTGTGATTACTCACTGTTGGTATTGGCAATAAAACAGAAGTGGTGCAGGACTTTTTCCTGAAGAAAATGCTGCTCTTTGCTCAATCCAGTCTTATAGTCATGTGGCCAGCAAAAGAGTCTGAGGCACCATTTTTCTTTTCAGGACTTCTACTGATCGTTATTTATCCATCACCAGCTGTTAAAGGATATCTAAACCTGAGAACACATGTTACATATTACAGCTCATCAGTCCTTAGATTTGGTGGCTGCATTAGTTTTCCTTTCTCTGGGTAAAAAACATTTTATGCAAGTACAGAAAATACCTGTCAATTTTACCAGCTTTAGTGTCCTTGTAACTTCCTCTGGATTCAAATGATATCTCAAACAATGCCATTAGCTTTCCAAGCTATCATTGGTGAACTACAAAAAAATCCCCCAATTTAATGGAGGTAAGGAGAGGAGGAGTTTGTAGTCCAAATCAAGAGAGCTAAGCTAGATTGACAACACTGCTTCTCTATAGTATGATGACTGAACTTTATCACCCTGGGACAGAATGTGTGTTACTGGCAGGATCACTAGGTGAAAATACCAGAAGAAAAGGCTGAAAAAATAAAAACTAATGATGCCAATACATCTGAAGACTGGTAAGCTGCAATTTATTACCAATTTTGTTCTTCGGTTTAGATACAATTTAACATTTGAGCACAGTATATGAGTACTGCATATACTGTACATTCGCTGACCACTTGATTAGGTACACCGTGCTAGTGCCAAAAAAATATCCCCCACACCATTACACCACCAGCCTCAACCGTTGATACAAGGCAGGATGGATCCATGCTTTCATGTTGTTTATGCCAAATTCTGACCCTACCATCTGAATGTCACAGCAACCAGTCTGCACATTCTCCTCTGATATCGACAAAGCATTTTCATCCACACAACTGCTGCTCACTGGATATTTTCTGTTTTTTTGAGCCATTCTCTGTAAACCCTAGAGATGGTTGTGCGTAAAAATCCCAGTAGATCAGCAGTTTTTGAAATACTCAGACTAGCCAGTCTGGCACCATCAACCATGCCATGTTCAAAGTCACTTAAATCCCCTTTCCTCTCCAGTCTGATGCTCAGTTTGAACTTCAGCAATTTGTCTTCACCACGTCTACATGCCAAAATGCATTGAGTTGCTGCCATGTGATTGGCTTATTAACAATTTGTGTTACCAAGCAATTGAACAGGTGTACCTAATAAAGTGGCCGGTGAGTGTATATTATGTGCAATAGTGTGGACACAATGGGGGATATTTGCTAAAACTGGATTCGGAATCTGGTGCAGCTGAGCATGGTAGCCAATCAGCTTCTAACTTCAGCTTGTCCAATTAGACCTTGACAATAAAAGCCCATTGGTATCTGTGCAGAGCTGCACCAGATTTTGCACACTCCAGTTTTAGTAGATTTCCCCTACTGTGTTATCTAGGCATTATTGTGCAAACATTACTTTAAAAAAAGGGACAGACTTTCAGCATTTACCACTGTGCGCCTGCTGGAAAGATTTCTACCTCCTGTTTCAGTGACTGGAGCCACCTAGGCTATGAAATATGGGGACGCTAATTTAGGCCATGGTTGCTTTTTTTTTCCTAATTATGAATAGCATAGTGAACATTTTCTTCCTGCAGCCCCTGAACGCCGGCAGGAGGGAGGAGGAGAAGCTGGCTTTTTCAGTGGTTGCAGGAGGAAAATGGAGAAGATCGGATAATGTATATGCCCCTCCTGTCCAAGTGTAAAACAGAATGTGACAGGGAGCTCCCTTGAGCATGCTATGGGATCTCCATTGGGACCCCTGATGCTACATCAGTGTTGGGGGGAATGACACATGCCTCAACTATGGGATTTTACTGCCCACTAAACCACAAATGTGAACTAGCCCTGTCCTGAGGACCCTATAAGGCTGCCTTGGCACTGATGCGCTGTGGTTTACCCGCACCATGAGTGCAGTGCAGTGCACCTGCGGCTTTCCTGTGGGTTAGCTGTGCTTTTCCACAGACTTCTATTATATCTTGTGGGTGTGGTGCAGCAAAACTCCTGCACTCAGGATAGAACAATAAGTGTGCTTCCCTGGTTAGAGGTCGAGCGCCACAGAGGGCTCTGAAGGCCACAGTAGAGGGCATCGAGAGCCACATGTGGCCCGCAGGCCACAGGTTGAGCACCCCTGATTTAGACAGTCAAGAAAAACAGTTTTTAGCAGAATGGTTAAGGGTTAAAACCTCTGTCAGTTCTTACAACATTTGCGTCTTTTTGGGAAGATTTTAATACCTGTCACTACTACTGATGCAACTCGAGACAAGAAGGAGCAATAGCTATTTCCTCCATAAACTTGTCTCTTTCTCTGTACTCCAGCTTTCACCAGGTGCACGCCCAGAAGCCCACCCCTGCTAAACTGCCTGTCAAATAGAAATGAACGGGTCACTCATGGATGTAGGACACGAAGCGTTAAAGTACAACTAAGGGCTCCATTCCTGCCAGCCATATTATACATGCATCAGCACAGCATTCTGTAGTCGAACTAAAAAACATCAGTCACATTTTGCTGAATCCAATTTCTTTTTCAATCTATCATGCTTATAATTCCCATCAGCACTGCTTCTAAGTTTAGAGCATGTGAAGGGCAGGGTTGTCTGGGGCTTCCCTTTTGTACACACAAAGGCTACTGATCAGATCAAAAAAAAAAAAAAAAAATTACAGCTCCCAGAAATCATTGCATTTTTCCCTGCAGCGGGGCACCTTTGGGGAAGTGGCCGATGCAGCCCTGTAGGCATAATATGTGGACATGTATATGGGGAACTTGCTAGATATGATTAGGAGTGACTGGGAGGTATTGGTGACAAGATGATTGATGTGTATAGGTCACTAGTGGAATGTATCACGTGGACAGATGACACCACCAAGTCATGCTCTAGTCCGAGCTTACACAACAAGTGCAAATAATGGCAAGAGGGATACAGCACAGGGGGTGAAAAAAAAAAAAAAAAAAAAAAAAAAAAAAAAAAGGAGAGCCTTTGCCCATATCTTCACACAGGTAAAATATGTGACTAAACATTTTTAAAATGAAATACAAAAATATTATGTATCTGATAGGGCTGCTGCATTCTTTCTTTTAGCCTATAGTTATACTTATAATTCACCCAAGGCGACTTATCTAATGGAAAAGAGTTGGACTCATGACATTCCAGCTTCCAGAGATCTTATAAGGGCTACTGTAAAAGTTTTGACTCGATCGTCAAATCTATTTCAGAGCTCATCACCACTATGCTTTAGATTGCAAATGCAAGACACGTTTCACATTTGGTACAAATGTCCTCGGTTACGGGGATTTTGGAATAAAGTTTTTGCCCTCCTGAGGCAGGTGATTGGAGTCTCTACGTTGCAATCCCCAGATACAGCTCTTTTAAATGAGCCACTTAAAAACGTGTTTCGAACTACCCAGAGATTGTCATTTTTCATCCGTTAGCTGTCAAACTCACCAACGCTTGGTGCTGGAAGAAGGCCTAAGTCCCCGTATCCCAGGTACGGAAGGAAGGCTCATGAATTATGACCCACAAAAAAGTTGCTAGCATATTCCAGGATTCACAAAAACTATCTGAAAAGGTCTGGATCCATGTACATCGACCTACAGTATAATTCTTATTAAGCCGGATATCGTATGTACTCTCCAGCGCCTCAGGATATGCACAGCCAAAAGGGAAGCCAAGGGTACCAGGACAGCGACAACCAAAAGGAAATGTTCCAGGGGTGCAGCCCTCCTCAGATGGGGAAATCAGCCACTGGATAGAGAGAAAACAGGTGGCGCACACACCTAGTGCATTATCCAAGGTTTATTGTAGGAATGAGATAATAAAAACATACTCACAGACGAAGCATGTATCTAAAAAGCATAGAAAAATGGCAATGGCCACAACGGCGGGCAAGGTGTTCTCACTGTCAGTGCGGTCAAATGGCTGACGCGTTTTGGGGACGAATCCCTTTCCTCAGAGCTGATGACCAACCTCTGATGCTGATGTATGGACAGAAAGAGCCTCGCTGTTGATGCAGAGGCTCTCTAATTCTTATTAAGCCATGGGCTTCTATGCAAGTATCCCGCATTGTCCTTGGGATTTTTCTTCTCTCTACTCTTCCTTATTCCTGTATTCTTGCTCCCCTTTCAGCCTCTTTTCACATCTCTTCCTAACGTTTTGAGATCTGGCAATTGTCTTTTCACGTGGACATGTGATTTCAGGAGACATTCCTTGTGCACTGTGTGTAAAATATGGATACTACCTCGAGATTTTGTTTTCGGAACCTCTTCAGCTTCCTCTGTCAACATGTTTCCAGATCATTATTGCGCTGTTAAAGGCTGGATCTGTACAACAATCTTCTCAATAAAACTGTGATAGTTTCCATTCCTTCCCATTTCATCCAAAACTAAATAATAAAAAAAATATGGACTTTTCCCTTTAAAGGGCCAGCCCTTCGGATATAGTATTGCATTTATTGAAATAAATCTATGACTTGGGGAATGTACAATGATCTAGGATTATTAATACCCAACAAAACTGAATTCATTAAACCACATCAGAGCAAGCAAAATGACAACACAAATTAGCTGACCCCTTATCTTAGATATATCACAGAGCGCAGTATCCCAGACAAAAATAAGTGATATATTCTGCAATAAAAGATGCTGGCTAAAGACTTGCCTTTCTTTACAGAAGAGGAGCGTCTGACAGGCAATACAGCTGTAGGTACCCCGCCTGGTTTCAGGCCTCCACTCTCCGCTGTTATTTGCTTCTTCTTATGTTTCCGCCTTTTCAGCTGGTGGGCTGCCAGAGCCAGAGCCACTGTGCCGAGAGCAGTTGCAAACAGGACTTTCCGGAGACCTGGGGAAAGCTTTAACTGCGAGAATGTGGTCTGTAAAGGCAAAATGTACCCAATATAAGCAATTACTGCAGTGTACACTCATGTCTATGCTCTTGAACATTGTTAATGGCAATTGTGTTGCGCAGATGTGCGCAAGGTGAACAATGTCTTGGATGAATTGTAGAGATCCTGCAGAATACTGGAATATCACTGTAACGGCAAAATAAAAATGTGCCTTTCTGCACATACAATTGGTGAAATGTTCTAACATTTCAGGAGGAAGATTTGTTAAACGTATGAATGTAAATGTAACCACATACTTCTGAACAGAGCTTTAACGCGTATGTCCAAGCCTCCCTTTCCCCCTTTAGTGCATGTCCCAGCAGTATATTTTCTTTCACTCTGTTGGTAGCAAGAATCAGATCTTATTACTCCATGTGACATCATTAACGGGCCTTTTTTTGCTGGAGGGGCTATTGGGAGGTCAGGTTCTATTGACACGGACATGCCCTCAGTACTCCATCTCTCAAGGGCCTATCTCTATACAATGTGTGTGTGCGCTCTGTTGTAAGTCAGGCCAGCAGCATTGTTTTGCTTGAAAAGAAATCATTGTATGCAAGTAGAGTGGGATAAAGAGGGTTGGGGGGCTAGGAGTTCTGTAGTCCAACAGGTAAGGTTGACAACACTGGCTGGGGTTTAAATGCAGCACAGGCACCGTGTTGTCAGCCCAAACAGAAAGTTAGGAGCACACTGGATTTCTGCCAGATCAATAATTTTTGTGGTGCTTACTGTGTGTGTTTAGAGGGATAAAACAAGAGGAAAGGTACATATACAATGGGGCAAAAAAGTATTTAGTCAGCCACCAATTGTGCAAGTTCTCCCACTTAAAAACATGAGAGAGGCCTGTAAATGGCGTCATAGGTAGACCTCAACTATGAGAGACAAAATGAGAAAAAAAAATCCAGACAATCACATTGGCTGATTTGGAAAGAATTTATTTGCAAATTACGGTGGAAATAAGTATTTGGTCACCTACAAACAAGATTTCTGGCTCTCACAGACCTGTACCTTCTTCTTTAAGAGGCTCCTCTGTCCTGCACTCATTACCTGTATCAATGGCACCTGTTAGAACTTGTTATCAGTATAAAAGACACCTGTCCACAACCTCAAACAGTCACACTCCAAACTCCACTAATGTGAAGACCAAAGAGCTGTGGAAGGACACCAGAAACAAAATTGTAGACCTGCACTAGGCTGGGAAGACTGAATCTGCAATAGGAAAGCAGCTTGGTGTGAACAAATCAACTGTGGGAGCAATAATTAGAAAATGGAAGACATACAAGACCACTGATAATCTCCCTCGATGTGGGGCTTCACGCAAGAAGTACTGCTCATGTTTTTTTTACTCATTAATAGGAAACATTTTATTTATTTCATTTTTAAACTGTTCTATATAGGTTATTATATATAGTTTTAAGAAATGACAAAGAATATCAAGAACAGTGTGGATGATCTACAAAAGGTAACAGCAGAGCTCCTTGTTTAGGCCACAATTTGATTAAAACTTCAGCCAAAGTGCCAGTTCACACATGTGCTGTGTATTGAAGCTCAGGTTTTACAGCTAATCAGATTCAGGACAGGTCAGGATTTTATCCTGTTCACAGCTGATGACGTGCTGTTTGGAAACAGTTCCTATAGAAGTAAATAGCTTGTAATTTGCTCCTGAACCAGAACGCACTGCTCAGAAATCAGACACAAATCTTTTTCAAATCGTACTGAAACCGCACTGCCAGTACACAGGACATATGTGAACAGGCACCAAAGGAAGCAATTTTATTTCACATGTCATGCAGATTTGTTGCGGTTCAAACCGCATCCAATCCGCATATATGTGAACCTGCACTGTGAGATCTTTGAGGAGGCACTGATATGAACCATTGAACTGTGAAAGCTGCTTAATCAAAGAAGCAAACTATGTAATTTTTTCCTCACAACAAAAAAGCTAGGGCTAAAATCAGGCTGGTTTAGACTATTAACCTCCCTAGCGGTCTGATTATGTCCATATTTCTGTGCTCAAAGCGGTACATTTTTTTTGCATGGAAATATTTTTTTTTTTATTATAGGCCTGTAATTTTTAGGAATAACCCACTAAAATCTGTCCGAACAAGAGTCTAGTAAACATCCCGGGTATGTTAAAATTTGAACACGAAATCATAAATTATAATTTAATAAATCATAAAAAATATAATAATACATTTTAATTCAGTAATATAATTAAACCAAAAACACTGAAATTTGAAATATAACGCCAAGTTCACACATCTCTGAGCAAAGTCACAAAATCGTTTTCAGTGTCTGATGACGAATTTCCACACAAATCACTCAATTCTGCAAGTGGTTCTAGTTTACTATCGCTGTTCTCTAGCTGGCCTAAAATCGCTTTTGACCTAAAGGGACGCTTTTTGGACGCCATGGACGTTTCTCAGTTTCCAGGCAGAAAGAACAGTAAAAATGCAGGCAGGGCACAGGACAAAGCACTCGGGACAAAATGTATGTAAAATGCTTTGATACAGTAATGTTTATTATGTTATTTTAGTGTATTTAGTGAATGTCACTTTTTGTAATTTTCAAATTTCCCGCCATTCTGTCTCCGTATGTCTCGACACCCGCAGGGGACGGAACCCAGAAGACAGATGCCGGCATCCGCCGGAGGACAGTACATGGGACACTGAAGGAGGGCCATCGCGGGAGCGCAGAACAAGGTCAGTGATCGAGGGATCCCGGAGCAGCGCCGCATGGTAAGCCCGAGTGTAGCTTGGCGTTACCGCTTGTGGTACTGAAACTTTACCCCGAGCTACGCTCGGGAATACCGCCAGGGGGGTTAAAGTACATTGCTGTAAGTGTATTAACACATTATTTTGCACATTTGTATTGTGGTTAAGCAGCACATTCATTTTAAGGGGGCTACCAACACATGTTAACTGACTGGAAGATGCACATGACCATGCAGTGCACTGGCATTATGGTGCCCTGTGGTGTGGATGAGTTGCCCATTACAGTTACCGCCTTGGGTGCCATTTAAAGTGAATGGCACAGCAATGCACAGCCTCAAAGCCATACAAGAAAGATCAAGTCGCCTTGATATAGATATTAATAAATTTCACCTTGAGCTATCAAGGTCAAGAAACAAAGGCTATTAACATATAAGGCAAAAAGGGACAAGCAGCAGAGAGCTCTACCTACTGGCTGAAGAAAATACTTACTGAATAAGCAGCTTATTTCTCTTTTAGGCCTTGTCTACAGTCCCAGTTTAAGCTGGTGTCATGATCCCTGGCCCAAGTTACTCCTTTCTCTTGCAACATCCTAGGGAGCCACCCCTGTATGTAAGGGCTAGAGCTGTGTACACCTACACTCTGTGAGTCAATAGAAACACATAGCCTAGGATGGCAAGGTACTGCCCTGCTCCATCCTCCCCATGCTAACAGACTGACTGCAGATTACACTGTCCACTGTGAGCCCGGGTTCACGCTGATGTGGTGCGGAATTTGCAGCATTTTCCGTGCTAATTCTACACCGCATCAGAATCGCACCCCGTTCATGTGAACCGCTGCTGGTGTGTATGTTAACAACACCCCGAAATCGGTCCGCAAAATGCAGAATTGGATCACATAGGTGTGAATACTCATGCAATCCGATTCTAGTGCGGACCAAAAAAAGGGTCCTGCACCTTTTTGGTGAGGTACGATTAGAGCCATACAAAATGTACAGCTCCATTCGCACCACACACAAATTGCATGTGATTTGCACAGGAATCTGGTGCGGTTCCTGTGCAAATCACATGTGATATACCGCAACGCATATATATGAAACTGGGCTTAAAGTGTTACTAAACCCAGGACCCTGCATCCATTATATCTTTTCTCCCACAGTACACAACTTGGAAGTGCAATTATTTTAGTAAATATAAACTGCTAAATACCTTTTCAGCAGCTAGAGCAGTCTTGTGACTTCTATCAGTGTCCAGCAGAGCACTGGTTAATCTTGGAGGAGTTTTCTTTCTGCTCTAGGAGGATGCAAAACCCCTGGCCTCCGTCTAGTCAGTGCTAATTGGCCCTGTGCTGATCACATGCACTCAAAAAAAAAAAAAAAAAAAAAAAAAAAAAAAAAAAAACAACCCTCTCTAGCGATATACACTAAAGTAAGCTTGTGCAGAGCGTCTCTCCACACAAATATGTCTTAGGACATAAGAGGGGGACACTGGAAGAAGGGGAGGATTAGAGAAGTCAGGATCAAACAGCGTTTTTACACAATGCAGAGGATTAACCCCTTAGGTTCCACAGTGAGTATAAGTAGCATATAAAGACTGATTTTACTGTTGTGGGTTTAGTAACACTAACTCTTTCCTATAAAGAGCAGAAGCAGCTCAGGGAAGCAGCACTGAGAGAGCAGGAGCCAGAACCATTGAAACTGCAAAGGCTGGAGTAAGAATTTTAGGAAATAGTTTACTGGAGAATGTTTATTTTATTGTGGTCAATGGTTTAAACAAAAAAAAAAAAAAAAAAAAAAAAAAAAAGTGTTTTTAATACTACTATAAAAGACAAATATGTACAAAAGCACTAATCATTCTCTTAACAGCAAGCTTTAAGCATGGGTACTTACATAGATATGATAAAAGTAGGCCATACTCATGTCTTGATATTTCAAATGTTGGGAGTCAGTTATTGAATAGCTGGTGTTGTGATAGGATTCCATGCACCATCCATCTATCTGTGAATTTTTTTTATTTAAAGTTGTCCTCCTATGCTAGATTATTCTAGAAGTTGTAATGATATGATGAAACCCAGTGTTGTGAAAGAAATGTCTTTGTAAGCGTACACCTTGCAGATCATATGGATGGTAAGCCTTTGCTAATTAACATATTTATAACTGCTAGCGTAGACATATGCTAAAGTATATTTATGTGTGGCAACTTGTTGGATCAGATGCATCAAAGGGTTAGAGGCAATAGAACTGTTCAGCTAACTGGACAATGCAGTCTTTTGAAAAAGACATCTTTTTTTAAAAAACAAATCTAGCAAATTTCTTAAAGTGAACCATGCACTAAAGCAGGGGTGTCAAACTGGTGGCCCTCCAGCTGTTGCGAAACTACAAGTCCCATCATGCCCCTACTTTGGGAGTCATGCTTGTAACTGTCAATCTTGCAATGCCTCATGGGACTTGTAGTTTGGAAACAGGTGGAGGGCAGTTTGACACCTGTGCACTAAAATATAAGACTCCAAAATATATTCACCATACACTGGAAAAAAAAAACAAAAACAAAAAACAAAAATAGCAAAACAAACACCTTTGCATTCTAGGACTACAAAATCTAAAAGGAAAAGTGCACAAAGTGTGCACTTACCCATTTTTAAACCCCCCCTCCAAGATGCACACTTCCCCCCCCCCCATTCTATAGGGTTGTTTGATGCTTATATAGGACTCTACAGGAAGGTTCTGGGCAGGAAAGCTAAGGCACTGAAGCAGTGCAAGAACAGTGCAAACATACAGTATATTGAAAGCCAAGAGACAGGGGCAAGAGAGTATGCATCTGGGAAAGCAGAGGGTGTAGTAGCGTAGCTTAGGAGACATGAAAGTTCACCTTAAAAAAAACAAACACACACTAAATGCAAATGTTTTTGCAGGTAAAAAAAAATAATAAGGGCATTTATTACTATTTTTTTTTTTATTAGAAGCCTGCAAAGGAATCCACCCATGTTCAGCATATTGTGGGTGCAATCTCAGGCTCCAACAGACTGTCAGTGTACCTGTATGCCTCTACCTCTTATAGGCAGGCAGTTACTAAATGACAGGAAGGATCGATGAACTACCAGAGTGCTCATCAGCGCTCTGGTAGTTCAATGAGAACTACAAGCATACATCCACAATGGCAGATGGTAGTTGTAGTTCTCCCATTCACAGAACTTATCCAAAAAATGTACAGATGAAAAACAGACAAATTGAACGTCTATGTGGAAGGACGCTTAGTCTGCTCTTGTACAGTGTGCCATATAAAGAATACATGTGGTCTTGTATAGCTAATGATTTGTTCACTGTATCGTACCTACAGACATAAGGCATTGTGAACTTTACTGGGTAGGGAGGAATTCTGAGGTTATACAAATGTTACTTTATCTCCAAACAAGACAAACAGTAAAACTCAATAAAAAACACAGACTTTTACCTGTCCAAAGGTTGTGTACAGGAACACAGGGATCTCCGCCACGGTCATAGCCAAGGCTTGGATAATGGACATGCCCTCAGCTCTCTGGAATGCCATATTGGTCAGTTAGGCAGTATGTGGATACAAGGATAATATTTAATCGAGTTCAGACATTAATTCGCCTATTTCTTGGTCACACAATTGGCACGGATTAGGTGCATTTAACGATCCCATTTTCCAAACAAATCCTAAAAAGGAAAAAAATAAATTTATTAAATGTAAATCACAAGATTGCAAGCTCCTTGAGGGCAGGGGACTGATGTGAATGTACAGTATGCAAAGTGCTGCATAAATTGGCACTGCTATATAAATGGGTGTAATGAACCATTTCAGCTCCGAAAGATTTTTACCTCCCTCATGACCAGGCCATTTTTTGCTATTCTGCACTGCTTTAACTGGCAATTGCACGGTCATGCAACGCTGTATACAAACAAAATGTGTATCTTTTTTCACACAAATAGAGCTTTCTTTTGATGGTATTTGATCACCACTGGGCTTTTTATTTTTTATTATTATATAAATGAAAAAAAGACTGAAAATTTTGAAAAAAATAAAAATATATTTTCTGTTATAAAACATCCGGGGGAAAAAAAAAAAAAAAAAAAAAAAAAAAAAAAAAAAAAAAAAAATCGAATTTCGTCATCAGTTTAGGCCAAAATGTATTCCAGTACATGTCTGGTTAAAAAAAAACCCTCATAAGTGTATATTTAATCTGTAGGAAAGTTAGAGTTCACAAACTAATTTATATACATTTGAAAATTGATCCTGATGTACTGAAGGCCAATCTAATTTCTTGAGACCAAGACAGTACAAATATCCCCCAAATTACCCCTTTTTGGAAATTAAACACTTTGAGGTATTTAGTAAGAGACATGGCAAGTTTTTGGAAGTTGTAATTATTTGTCACATTTTTTGAAAAAATACTTTTTTTTTTTTTTTCCCCACATACTGTCACCAGCGCAGTACAGCATCACGATATGCCTGGTGTGGTGGTGATTAAGGACACTGGTTGGTGATAGCATGTTAAAAAAAAAAAAAAAAATCAAGATTCAAGATTTTTTTTTTTTTTTTTTTTTTTAAAAAGTACTTTTATCAGAGTAATTCAATGTTACCACAGTAACATTGTACCACTCTGGGGGGGTGATCAGGGTTTGTACTAGCAATGCTCTGAACTGTCATGAATGGGTTAAGTTCATGAAAGCTGTGAATACCAGTTATATGTGCTTGGCTACAGCTAATCACATGGTACAGGGTGCTGTGATTGGCCCAGGTACCATGTGATAGCTGTTGGCCAATCACAGCTCATTAGCAAACAAAGCAAAGCTATTATGAATCATATTGATACATAACAGCTTTGTTGGCATTGTTATGTGATCGCACAGCAATCACATGATTACTGTGATCTGCATTCTGCGCAGTGCTCCCGTGTCTGTACAGGCAAAATGGCATACGGGTACATCACTTTGTCTGTGCATGCCGGCCGCCCGCCCGCAGTAAAAGTACTTTGGGCGGTCGACAAGTGGTTATTAAATTTAGATTGCTAAAGCATTATGTATCAGTAACTGCCAGAAAAAAAAATACTTGTTTTTCCTTTTAACTTAGGTACAACCCGCCTGTCGGATTTTACATGCGATTACTGCTAGCGGTTATTATAGCAGCTAGCAGTAATCACTGTGTTCTCCTGGTGGGGGATGACTCTCTGCTCCAGAAGAACACAATGGATGTACGGGAGGGATTCCCCCATCAACACTGTGTTGATGGGGGAATCGAGTGATTTTCTTTCTGCAACCTGCAGTTGCAGGAAAGGAAGATCGTTCCATCTGTAGCCGGGCCAACAAGGGCATTCATGTAATTTAAATACATATGTTGTCACTTTAAGAATATCATGAAAAATGAAATCAGTGTAAAAAATATGCATGCTATCACTTTAGGACATCATAACAGACAATTATATCACGAAAACACAAAATCAGTGTAAATAATGTGCAACTCCACTTGCTATGGCTCTGCACAAGGCAACTCATAAATATCACACATGGTACAAGGTTTAACCACTAGCCTACAGGGCACTTATACCCCCTTCCTGCCCAGGCCAATTTCCACTTTCAGCGCTGTTGCACTTTGAATGACAATTGCACGGTCATGCAACACTGTACCCATATGAAATTTTATCATTTTTTGTGACAGAGCTTTATTTTGGTGGTTTTTAATCACCTCTGGGTTTTTTATATTTTCTTAAACAAACCAAAAACCACTTAGTTTTTGTTATAAAATTTTGTAAATAAGTGATTTTTCTCCTTCACTGATGTGCACTGAGGCTGCAGTGATGGGCACTGATAGGCTGCACTGATGAGGAGGTACTGGTAGGTAGCACTGATGGGCACTGACGCACACTGATAGGCTGCACTGACTGGCACTGAAAGGCAGCTCAGATGGGCACTGATATGTGGCATAGATATGGCACTGAAATGTGGCACTGGCAGGTGGCATGGATGAGCACTGAGAGCTGGCACTGATGGACAATGACAGGTGGCGCTGCTGGGGCTACACAGATCATCAGGGCACACTGATCATCAGTGCTCTGATGATCAGTGTACATGTCCCCTCTGAGGAATGCCGATTTACCAGCTCTCCTCTCCTCACGAGCTGTCAGCGTGACAGCTTGTGGGGAGAGAAATCCAGATAACCGGCATTTCCCTGTTTACATGTGATCAGCTGTGATTGGACACAACTGATCACATGACCAAGCCGACATCTTCGACTCTTTCCGTGGATCGGTGATCCGCTGTGTCCTAGGGACACAGCGCACCGCCGATCGTCACACGCTCCGGGAGCCGAACGAACAAGAGAACCACCTTGCATCCGTCATATTACTATATGGCGGGCGGGAGGCGGTTAAAAAGGGGAAAAAAAACCTCATGCAGCCAGTTAAAATCCAGTAACATTTCCAACTGCGTTATCTTTGTCTCTGTATACTGCGAGTCTTTTCATCTCTTATGTGAATGCCATAGCTTAATAAACTTTACGTCATCAAACTTTCATCATCCTCTCTATTTGTCCTGTTTATCATCGAAAGTAAAAGAAAATCCCAAAGTTTAGCTTGTCCCCAGAACACAGGTAAAGGCGGAATCTTCCAGTGAGGACACTAGTTATGGCGACAACCAAGGATTTTCTTACTTTGAAGGGATTTTCTCTCACTTCCTGTTTGGCTATGGGTCAGGAGGCGAAGGGAGATCACCCCAATGGGACTTAGATGTCAGAAAATTGACAGGGGTTATAACCCTCTTGTGACAGACCCTATTAAAAAAAAAAAAAACGTTTTGCCTTTAAATAGACTCTAAACACTACAGGATGCCACCAGCACATTTTGTAAACCCTAACTGAATGACAGTTACTAGTAACAATTGCGAGGGTCACAACACAGAAAAAAAATTGGGAAAACGTTGTCACCCTGTAATGGGAAGTGCCTGGACATAGAGCTTCATGGCAGGATCATCAGGTATTTAACTACTTGGCACCAAATCACATACATGTACGTGATTGGCTTCAAGTAGTTATATCGGGTTATGGCTGCCGCTGTATACCATAACCCCAATATTTTTTTTTTTCAGCCAGCAATGCTTTTTTTGTATACAAGCATGCCTAGCGGCTGATTAGCCACTGGATTGCTTTTGCAGGTGCCGGGAGGGGATACTGCCTCCCACCAGCTTTTCTCCAGGCTCTCCTGTTCGATCGGGGAGAATGGTATCCAAACTAGTGGTGCCGCCGGGCTATCATAGAGCTGGCCAAAAACCCATAAGGTCTCTGGTCATCTCTATGGTCTAGGAGACTGGAAGTGACATCACTTCTGGCAGATATAAAAAGAAGGGCAATGTTTATAAGTGACAAAACACAAAAAAGTAGTGCTGCGCTCAATTGCAGACTAATATCAAATATAAACAAGTGAAATAAAATGCTTACAAATCAAACAGACGTGACATACGACTGGACCAACTGTAGCCAGGATACTAAATATATATATATGACTGTTAACAGTAAACATGCCCCCCTCACTCCCACTCAATATCGTGATCAGTGAGTGAAATCATTCAGGTGGGTATGTACAATTCATGGATAATGAGTGATGGTGTTCAAATTCATGCGTTGTGCATGATCACACAAAACAAAACTTCCAGTATTGGTGAGTGACACTCCTTCTATAGCTGAATTGCCTCCTCACCTCCACTCTGCGTAAGATCCTTGATCTTGAAGGTGTGTTGGCCCAGTGGGCCGCAGAGTGGAGGTGAGGAGGCAATTCAGCTATAGAAGGAGTGTCACTCACCAATACTGGAAGTTTTGTTTTGTGTGATCATGCACAACGCATGAATTTGAACACCATCACTCATTATCCATGAATTGTACATACCCACCTGAATGATTTCACTCACTGATCACGATATTGAGTGGGAGTGAGGGGGGGCCATGTTTACTGTCAACAGTCACACATATATATATATATATTTTATATCTATCCTGGCTACAGTTGGTCCAGTCGTGTGTCGCGTCTGTTTGATTTGTAAGCATTTTATTTCACTTGTTTATATTTGATATTAGTCTGCAATTGAGCGCTGCACTTTTTTTTTGTGTTTTGTATTTTTACTGTATGGTATCAGTTTGATTTTGAGTGTTAGCTGCTTATAACGATAGGCACTCCAGTAAGCGCAGGAGGATCTTTTCATATTAATGTTTATAATATGATGTAGGGTTTTATAGACCCCAGATGTCTCCATAAAAAGAGGACTTATTATTATTATACAGGATTTATATAGCGCCAACAGTTTGTGCAGCGCTTTACAAAATGAAGGTAAACATTACAGTTACAATACAATTGGAATCAGAGGGCCCTGCTCGTTAGAGCTTACCTGTTGTGCTTCATCTCTATCATAAGGGATGTTTACATTTCTTGTGATAGGAATAAAAGTGAAAAAAAAAAACTAAACATATAATAATAATAGGGACAGTGTAAAAAAGTGATATAAAATATTTATCCTTTTTCAATTTTTTACACTGTCCCTATTAATATGAATAATACAAAAAGAATAAAAGGGACAGTGTAAGAATTATAAAATACATTTTTTTTAATGCACCCCCATCCCTCTGTACTCATGTGCAAAAGCAAACGTAGATCATGCATATGTAAACAGTGTTCGCGCCACACGTTATAGTGAAAGCAATCATTCTAGTGCTAGACCTCCTGTGTAACTCTTTAGAGCGTCACCTATGGACATTTTTTAAGTAAGTATCGTAGCTTGTCCCCATTCCATGAGCGCACGCAAAGCATCACGTTAGATATCTATTTACTCGGTGTAACATTGTCTTTTACCAAAAATTGGGTTTTATATATATATATATATATATATATATATATATATATATATACACACACACGTGTGTTTTTTTTGCATTAAAATGTATTTAAAAAAAAAACAAAAATTCGTCTTAAGAACCGCTGCGCAAATCCCGCGTGACATAAACAAAAGTCACATGGAGGTTCAGCCTGCAGGAGGAGAGTTGGGTGATTGGGTTTAGATCAGGGAAGCAGTTGCGGTAGGTCCAATGTAGAGCTGTGTACTCACACTGCACTGCTCACTACTTGCAGATACATACACCGATCTGTGTGTATGGGAACACAGGAAATATACTCAGCATGCAGAATCCCGGAGATGGATCAGGATACCGCCTCCTTCATCTCCCCCTTAGGGCTGCGAGGCGGGAGTCATGCTGCTCCACATCCCGAGGATGACCCTGACACTCCACCTCCCGGTCTCCGAGCCACCCCACCTCCGCACTCACCGCTTCTCCCCTCCAGAAGGGCAGCGTCTCCTCCAGCCTAGCGCAGCCGAACTCTGAATCCTGACCGACGTCGGTCACAACCAATAGCTAGCTAGGATTTCACACTCCACTTGTGCAAAAGCCAATCCGCGCATCCGCTTGGGCCTCACGTGTGCGGTTGCATTGAAAGTGCCGCAGATGCTTCCTGGTCGGTGGACTCTTTGATTGGTGGATAGGATGTGAGGGAACCGGGGGGCGTGGTATATTTAAAGAAACAGCATCGGAGAAGATGGATGGTCGCTGAGGACTGTGGTGGAGCGGTGAGGGAAGGATACCCAGTTCACACTCAGGTCCTCTGTGGGCGGGGCAGGGAGGAGTTTTGCTGCGTCTGTAATGATTATAGAATGGGGTCATAGTTTGGTGTCTCACCCTTTATATATTGCACATACAGTGATATTAAAGGGGTAGCTCACCTTACCCATAAGCTGCCTATGCTGAGAAGGGGCGTCAAAGGGCAGCTCTGCCTCAAGTTGAATAATGTCCTTGCTATGGGTGTAGGCCATTTATGTACCTCATGAAGCCTGACTGGAAAACTACTGTTACTAAGGCCTGGCTCACTCCAATACCCTTTTAGTACTTTTTGCAAAGACACTACAGTCCATTTAACATGGTGTCCTATGGGGCATGTTCACATTTACACTTTTATGAGCTGCTGTGTTTTTGGAGATATTCAGGGACTATTTTTTTTAAGTCCCTGACATTGCATAAAGCAATGTTTTTGCTACAATAGAGTTCAATGGAGAAGCTGCGTTTCAGTAGCTTCTCCGTTGAACTCTAGTGTAGCAAAAACATGGTGAAACGCATGGAGTGCATTTTTGCCACTTCCCTTCACTTCCTGTCCCATAGCCAAAACATGAAGAGAGAGAGGAAATTCTTACAAAGTGAGAGAATCCCTGTTTTTCACCTAGAACTAGTGTCCTCATTGGAAGATTTCTCCTCAATTACTGTTCTGGTGACAACCCAAAATTTGGGATTTTCTTTTACTTTCAAATGATGATAGTAAACAGGAAATTTAAAAGGGGATGAATCTCCCTAACGGAGACACAGACATCAATAAAAACCGACAGCCGTTCTAATCCATCTCCACTCTATCCAAAACGAAAAACAAGTTTTGCCTTTATTTATACTTTAATGCAAAAATGCGTTACAGCAAAATAAAAGTTATAATACTCACCTCCTCTCAAATGTCAATGAGGAATACCTCACCGCTGCTAGCATCTTCTTTGCAGTTCCAGTATTTGGTCATCTTGATTGGCTGTCACGGGATGAAATAACTCCTGCGCATGCACCCAGAGACTGTGCTGGTAAACTGAGCTGCAGGCAGGGAGGTTCATTTTGTTACAGAAGAGACATTACATGTCTCTTCTGCAACAATTATATCCTGCCTGCTTGTAAGCTTACAGTAATCATTGCTGTATATATGTGTCATCACTATAATGGAGTACAGGGGAGGGGGGGATATACATTACTGTATACATGTCATATCACTATAATGGAGTACAGGGGAGGGGGATATACATACTGTATACACGTCATATCACTATAATGGAGTACAGGGGAGGGGGATATACATACTGTATACACGTCATATCACTATAATGGGGTACAGGGGAGGGGGGATATACATTACTGTATACACGTCATATCACTATAATGGGGTACAGGGGAGGGGGGGGATATACATTACTGTATACACGTCATATCACTATAATGGGGTACAGGGGAGGGGGGGATATACATTACTGTATACACGTCATATCACTATAATGGGGTACAGGGGAGGGGGATATACATTACTGTATACATGTCATATCACTATAATGGAGTACAGGGGAGGGGGATATACATTACTGTATACACGTCATATCACTAT